AGAGTGGGCGGAGAGGCAGCGAAGCGGCGACTGGTCCCTGGGAGGCCGGGCTGGAGGAGAGGGGGAGAGAACCCCCTCATTTCCCGGGTGCCGCCGTGCCCGGTGGTGCTGGTGTCCTTTGCACCGGGGCCCCGAGCGGCTGCCCGGGGAAACGCCCGCAAAGCTGCGTAGGGAGCTGAGCTGTACGTGGGAGAATAAACTCCCCAGTCTCGTCAGAGTTTCCCTTGAAAGGGTGGGTGTTTGCTCCGAAGGCGCTTTGCGCTTGGACCCCCAGCTTTAGCCCTCGGGTTTGCTGTAAACTTTCCTGCTCCTGTTACCGAGAACCTGCCCGGTTTTCAGCTTGGAGTTTGGTTATAAACCAGCACGCAGCGACAGCTGGAATTACACTCTCCAATAGCGGGGGTCAGAAATTTCAGTAGAGTTGGACATCTCGGGGGAAAAAAAAATCTTGATATTTTTCAGAATTCTTTATTTTGCCTCCTCTGGAGGGTGGGTGCTGGGAGGGTGATGAGTTTTGTTGCCCTGTTGTGCACGGGCATGCATTTCACTTCTGTTATTGCTGACTTTTTGTGCTATCCTTTTAATATTGGTGGAGCAGCAAATTGTCAGGTGGTTGCGTTTGGTTTTGAGAGTTTACCTTTTCAAGCCAGTGGTAAAACTAGTAAGTTCAATTCCAATAGAATAGCACTGTTGTCTGCGTTAAAGTGGTGTGTAGAAGCTCTGCAATAAGTGCAAACAGCTTGTAGCATAACGATGTGTAGAAGTGAAGTGCTTTGTGTGCGGTCTGAGGAACTTTAGACAGAAAATTCCTCTGTTTGCTGCATCCTCAAGGAGGAAATATTTGAGATTAGGGTCTTCACTTGCAGAGGTTCATCAGATAGTCCGGAGGCCATTAAAAAGATCCTCATTTATTATGGCAAGAGCCAACGTTTTTTACTAGGCTTTCTATAACCTCTTAATTGAAAGAGTTTTGTGTATTTAATGGGTTTTTTAAACCATGTCTGCATGCACACACCCAGGTCAGGGAGTGACCTTTTCAGCCTTGTATCTTTTAAAGTAAATCTTGGTGGTCTTATTTCATAATTCTTTTTTTTTTTTCTTTTCCCCCTCTGCGGGACAGGTTTGCTGTCAGTGTTGGCTACTGGAAGGACCCTTACATCCAGTATTTTGTGAGACAATCCAAAGAAAGAAAAGCACCTGAAATCAACAGAGGCAAGTTGGCACGTGGATGTGAATGAAGCCAGTGAAACGGGTTCTTACTGGTCTTGAAGAGCACCTGACAGAACCTCCCTGTCCTGGGTATCACAGAGTGTAGGAAATAGGTAGAAGAAAGATACAAGTTTTCTTCACAGTAATGATTCCACACTATGCTGGATCCTTTAAACTTTATTCTTTAAACCAAAGCGCTTATCCTTTGCTTTCTGTGTTCTGAATGGAATGTCTCTGTGTCTCGGCGTGCGGTAATCTCTACAAAGCAACCAAAAATGTTGATTTGACCCAGGCCGGCAGGGTACGTCAGCTCTGGTCTGTGCAGAAGTGTGCACACCAGCTAGAATTGTTCTGCTCAGTTTGAGGTGAAACTTGACTAAAACTGCTATTTAGCCAATGAATCCTATTTTATCAGTGCATCAGATCTTGTTAGTAATTAAAAAAAACCCCAGCAAAACCCCTAAGGTGTCTTAAAGACAGTGTTATTCTTCCTAAGAAACACTGGGTTTTAGATGGACTACCTAAAAATCTTAATGAGTGTTAAACATCGGTATTATATGAAAATAATAGTTAAAAACAAACTATTTTTTTTAACAGGCTATTATGCTCGTGTTCATGGAGTCAGTTATCTGATCAAAGCTTTTCTAAAGAGGACCGAGTGCAACTGTCAAATTGTTAACCTTGGTGCTGGCATGGATACCCTGTTCTGGAGATTAAAGGTAACGACAGCAGGGGGGAACGAACCTGGCTGGAGCCGAAGGTTCGTGTGGCCGTGTGAAGCCCTCCTGGGCGAGGGCTGGTCCGTGCTGCCTTCCGGAGCAGCCCGGAGGTGTGCAGCGGGGCTGGCTGGACAGCAGGCTCTCTGCCTGCTCTGCCTCCCTTCTCAGGTGCCTACAGTTGGGTGAGGGACCTTTAAACCTCAGTGCTCGGGTTTTGGCTTTTCCGGAAAAGTGCGTGACACGAAGCTGACCTCTAGTGGACTTTGAGAATAGAGCTCGAACTCCACGCTTTGCTGTCCTCTAAGCCGTAATATTTCACTTCTTTATCCTATATTAAACAGCAATAAGGTACTAGTGCACAGGATTGTACAGGCTGTATTTAAATCTTACTGAGTTATTTATATAAATGTGAGTTTTATATGTGTAAGTTTGTATGTCTGTGTGCATGTATGTGATTCCCAAAAATTCAGATTATTCAGGTATTATATGATAGCGTCATTCTGCGTGAACACACCTCTAAGTCATCTTGTCATCTTCTTAGTGTTTGCATTTGTAAATTGGTTTCTGGAAGAAAGCCCAAGGAGGCCAGTCCCATTTTGCTTGGACACAATTTCAGTCAGTGGAAGGGAAAAAATATTATTTTTTTTTTTCTGACATGTGAAGCTTTTTACTTACCTGCATTCCTATGAAAACTCTTGTCAATACGCAGTTTGATGAACTTTCCCGTAACAGTGATTTTAAAAGCTAAAGCAGGCTCTGTAACTCCAGTTCTTTCTCCTTGTAAAGAGCAGGTGTGGAATAACTAACGTGCAGAGGGCAGGACCCAGTTAACAGAGCGCTGTGGGGTCCTCGCTGCTGGTTTAAGGCCCTGTGCAGCAATTCATGAGATGGGCAGGCTGGCACGAGCAGTACGTGTCCGTCACAAAAGGATTGCTGCATGGGGAGAAACTTGGTACAGCTTGTCTATCAGGTGTCAGATAGTGACAACGTGAAATGAAGAGGTTTTCCCCTTTTTTGTAGCAGAGGAGTACTGACGTGCTTGTAGTCTGGCTGCTGGTTTGAGGACAAATCGCGGAATGTGGTCATTTTCTGTGTAAACCTGTGCAAAATGTCCCTGCCTCCTCTCTTAGAAGAATATACTGAAGATCATGGTAAATGTTGTAGTAGTTTGCTGTTCTGTGCTCTTCTAGAGCCTGGTAATATATTGTTGGAATATATGTTTCAGCCCAGGATTGCTGCATTAGATAAAATGTGAAATAATTTCCATAATGCTTAGAGGACATTCTAATGTCTCTCAACTGTTTTTGTTGGGTTTAGGTTGTGTTTTTTTAAGCTGTGGGACATTAAGTTATACTACTGTTACAAATGCTGGTGTAAGCTAAACCAAAACTGGTTAATTGATATCATCTTGTCATGTGCCTGTGAAACTTCACTGTCCCTAATTCTAGACTCTTGCTTCAATTCTCAGGATGAAAATCTTCTCCCTACAAAATACTTCGAGGTGGATTTTCCAATGATAGTTGCCAGAAAAATTCATAATATCAAGTAAGTGAGATGCTCTCGTTCAGCTGTGTGAAACCAAATGTAAGCAGGAATTGCAGGCTGCAGTTGTGTTCTCTCTCTTCTGAGGAACTCGCCGTGCTCTGGGATCTAGAGTGAAGGTTTCGTTACGCTGGCAGGTCACGCACGTGACTGTGCAGCCGCGCTTCCCAACCGGAGAAGTTGCTGTGTGGAAGCTTGAGGGAGGCGAGCAGACTTAATTACGTGCGATGTAACGGGCAGGGGAAGCCTTGCCGTGATTAGAGGCGATTAAGGCTTCTCTTACTTTGGAAGACAGTGCTAAATTCCCAGACTGGCACGTTCAGTTAGGGAGGTACGGCCGCTGGTACGTGACTGTGCTGTTTGAAGGGATACATCAAGGCTTACGGAGGGTGCTTGAAGAGAGTTTCTGGTTTTCTCTTGAAAGATTACCTCAAAAGTTAAGAGTCACTGGGTATAAAACTCAACTGTGACTTAGTACTAAGTCTAACTTGCAAATGTTTTTATTTCCAGTAGAGGGCAGAGGTATTCTCTTGTCTGTTTAACACACACACACACACACACACACACATATATATATATGTTAAAAAAATGAAAATTGTAAGCACGCTGTTAAAGAAGCTTAACTGCTCAGAGATGCTTCTTCCTTCTTCCCACAGATCAAAACCTCCCCTGTCAAAACCAATTATGGAATCCCATTCAGGAGACTCTCTTCTAATAGGTGAGTCATCTTAAAAATAAGTCGGTGATGTACTGCAGCACTTTTAAAACTTTTCTGATCATTTTGTTCTGCTATGTGGGAAGGCTTTTAATGTTTGAAATGCTGTTTGGACAGAGAATTGGGAGGGAAAAGAGGCTTGTTTCTTCTCTTACAGACTCCTGCCCATTTGTTCTGTGTAATGTTAGAAATGTCTTCTCTTCAAGTGGTTTTATTCTGCCAGAAAGTTGGGTTTTTTCTTTCTCTCCCTCATGTAGCTTAAGTTATGTTTTTTTCCCTGTCACAGAAAAGGAAAAAATGCTGCTGATGGTCACGTATATGGGATTAAAATATCTATTGAGCGTTTTCCTCTGTCTTTTTCTGTCTCATAAAGAGCACAAGCCTACATTTAGGGGAGTCTTCACAGAAGAAAGGCAGCCTGCAAAGCCCACCCTCAGAGCCAGTGCTGTTCGTTATGTTATTACGAGGACATTAGGTTCAGGTGGTGTCACGTGGTTGTAGAGCCTTGGCTTATGGTTGTAGAGCCTTGGCTTATGGTTGTAGTGCCTTGACTTACAGCCTCGTTGGGTTTGTGTCAGGGCTGTAAGTCAAAAACCTCTTTACATGTGGGAAAACCCCCCGAGTTCCGTTGGGTGAGGTTTTCACTGCCCGAATCGCAGGTACTGCACTATGGGAGCTGGTTTGGACTCTTTAGGAGGAGCAGTAACGATGCGCATCTACGACACCAGCTGATTGGCGTGAGCAGATCTGAGCCGGAGCCGGCAGCGTTTGCTGTTCCCTGGTGGGATTGCGTCACACGCGCCGTTCCAGCGAAGGGTCTGGTGCGCTTGCGAGGGCCCCCCAAAGAGCGAGGAGGAGCAGAGAGAGCGGGGAGCTGTGCTCGTCCTGCCGGCGGCGAGGTGTGGGTGTTTCGCCCCGAGGCTCTTTCAGCGCTTTGACTTGGATCAGAGCTGCCTTGGCTGCGCCTGTTTATGCGAGTTACGCACGTCTTGTTGCTGCCCATGGGAGGGTTTTGACTCCCCAGCCTTGTAGTTGCCATTTGAATGGCAGAGTTCTCCCTTGTACCTCCAGGTCTCAAAAGATGAAAGCCCAGCGCCCCCGTCTCAGAAAAAGGGCTCCCCAGTGCCACCGTGGTTCTGCCAGGAGACCGTGTAACACCGTACCCCCTGCAGGCAGGGAGATGCGGTGTAGGCGCCGTCCGAAAGGTGTTGAGGCAAGGTCGGTCAGGAGGGTTTGATAGTATTTGTGTTACTGAACAGCTGGAGGTACGTCTAGTACGGGAAAAGAACTGCAAAGCCATCAAGTTGCAGGGGTGTATTGTAATCAAAAGCTACTAATTAGCAAGTCACAGCAGTCAACAGCAATTAATGTATCACTGTTCGAATGTATTGGAGTGGCTTATTTCTCTAAAGCTGTTTCTCTTGTTCTTTCTCAGCGCTGGGTTTGAAATACCTTAGAGCAGCAATTTTACTGTAGCCAGGCTGGTGTAGGCTCAACTACACTGGGGTCTTTGAGACGTAGCATAATGCCCAGATATTCGGAGATGGTGGAAGTCTGTTGTGGAATCCCAGTTTGAACTGGCATTTGATGGCCACAGGTCAGTTTGAGTGAAATCCGTGTGGGAGCTCTCATTTAAGGACATGTTAGTGGCACTGCTTCACATGGCAGTGTCACCAGAAGAGGCTGTGGACTAAGTAGACAAATCAAAGAGTCAGATGGATAGAGATTTCTTACAGATCTAAAGGAACTTGACAATGAATTCACTCAGCTACTAACTGGTATGTACCCTCTCCTTTTAAAACTGTCTTAGTGCCTGAGAACTGGAAGGTGGTGGCTGTGACTCAAATGGGCTCTGGGAGAGATCCAGGGAACTACAAGCCAGTAGGACTGATGTCTCTACTGGGCAAGTTGGTAGCAAGTCTAACAGAGAGTTAGTGGAACAGAGGAATAATATAATGTGGTGAGAAAGAGTCGGCATGGCTTTTGTAAAGGTAGGTTGTGCCTCACAAACCGATTTGAGCTCTCTGTAGGAGTCAACAGATGTGTTGGAAAAGGCCATCCGATTAGCATAGCTCTTGGATTTAAAAAATGTGTTTTGACAGTGTCCCTTCCCAAAGCATGCCAAATTGCACGGTTGTTGTGTGGGGAAGGAATGGTTCTCATATGGATAAAGAGCTGGGGATGGAGGGTAGGCATATGTTGTTAATTTTCATTATGGAGGGAGATGGAGATCTGTGCTCAAGGATATGTTGTTGTTCAACACTAAGAAATGATTGGGAAAATAGAGTGATTAGTAAGTGGCAGCTTGTTGGCAAGTCCAAACTCTTCAGAGTGGTAAAGAACTTGTGAAATTAGTGACTTGGTGATAAATTCAATGTGGATTAATATAAAGTGATGCACATGGGCGGAAAAAATAGTTTGTGCCTCACATGTAAATGATAGGCTGCTGGCTGATCGTTGCTGCCTGCGTGCGAGCTCTGGGTATTATAATAGATAGATATATGAAAACATTGGCTCAGCAGTGGTCCAGAAATCCAAATCGAATTTAAGGGTTCCTAGGAAAAAGGTAGATGCCAGTATTAGTAGTACGTGTTTGCCCTCTTTTTGTCTTTTCCCTAGGTAGCTGCTGTTGGCATCTGTGAGAGGCAGGATACCCCCTGGGGGGACCTTTGGTCTGTCCTGGTACAGCTGTTAGGCTAGCGCAGTGGTCTGGGGATACCGCCTGTCGCAGGGGTTGTAGTGGGGCACAATGGAGCAGCATTTCCGGGTAGGGAAATGTTACTCATTTTTGTGGGTTTTGGGGTGGGGATATGGACCCAGGATTTTAGAATCTTGGGGAGGGAGGTTGTCCCATCCTGCCCCCGCCTCCCCAAAGCTGTTCCATACTGCTGTCCCATGAATACCAGGAATGATTTGTTTAGATGCTTTGCAATTTGATTTTTGAGTTGCTGTAATATCAGTTGACGTGACTTTTGTTCTCTCACCGCTTTTCTTCTCGCACTGAGTGTTTTCATTTCACGAAGCTGGTGCTAATAGGCAGCTTCGTCAGTGTCAGGGCAACAGTTCTGTGACTCTGTGATCTGCTTCCTCCTTGCCCGTCAGCCAAAGCAGTGACAGCGTGGTTCGCCATTCAGGCGTGGGTATTTGTGGCCTCTGCCCGCGAATAGCAGCAAGATGGCACTTGTCATTGAACAGCTTTGGCGGTTCCTGGGGAATGTTCGATCTCGGGGGAAGGCAGAGAATCTGTGCAGTGGTTTGACATTGCTGTGGCAATTCCAGGTTAAATTGTTTTCAAAGTTCAGAGGCAGTATCTGGTTTATGATGCAGTTCCCAGTGTTGGGAAGTTAGTCCTCCACCTTTGCTACCTTGCAAGTGCAAATTACACTCCAATGGACTATTACCTTTCAGTGCCACTCGTACACTTCCAGCCTCTGTCTAGTCCAGCTTTGGGGGCTGGTTATTTCAGCTGCTTTTTCCCAACTTTTCCAAACTTGCTTGTGGCCCAGTGCAGACATCAGGGGTGTTGCTGTCTTGGTGCCTTGCGTGCCTTGCGTTGGGGGTGATCCTGCGCTTGCAAGACAAACTACGTTTCTTCGTGTTCTGACACGTACCCTGTTCTGATGCTGTAGTTGAGAAACAACCTGAATGAGACCAATACTGTATCGTGCCTGTGAGCCTGACCAGGTTGGATGGGCTGGTTGTTTGTAAAGCTGCCGAAGGTACCTTAGGATGAAAATCCCGATGAAATTAATTTGAGTCAATAGTATCCTGCATGCTGCCTCTTGGAAGACTTCCAGGAAATGGTTTCACTAATCTGAGAGCAAGGAAAGAAAACTCTGAACTCTTGTAGCAGAGGAAACGCTGTGCTTGTGCGCCTGGGGTTCTGTAACGCTGCTTCAGCAGACGGATTGAGGTAGCAGGTGCCTGAGGACCACATAAACGGAGCATTTACTTGCTGGTAGCATGTTTCTGCGAAGAAGAATTCTGTTGTAGCGAGGTCAAAATGCAACCATGAGCAGCTCCTGCTACTATTCAGTTGCTGCAGTGTCTAAGTACCGTCTAATGTGTCTAAATTTGAACCACTTCTATTGTTACTCCTGTGCCAAAAGTCACAGAAAATATACATACAAGCGGTACGATTGAGCAAAATGTTCTCCGTTGCGTTATGTTCCCCATTGCCTGGGGAACAGAAGCGTGCACCTCGGCTGAGAGAGTCTGCGTTGGGTACGTGGGGTGGGCTGGAGTGGTGGGCCTCCTTTTCTGTCTCTCCTTCACCATCCCTCCCTTGTATTTCTCAAAGGAAATCTGAATCTGCTATTTCTCAAACCTTCGTGTCAGACAAGTACAAGAGAGAAACTTTGTACGTAACTGAATGTGCTGAGTGTGAGCATCACAAAGAAAACCAGAAGGGAGCTCTGTGCTGTAGGGAAGAACATCGTGACCAAACAACTTTGCTAAAAACCGGTGTGCAGTGTTGGCACCTGGATTAGTGCTTGGAACATGGGATTTTCGATGGATTAAGCAATGAAATGTCGCTGGCGATGCCAGCATTAGGGCAGCTGGCCTGAGTCACAACAAGGTGGCCCTATTTATTTGAAAACTGCCACTGACTGGAGTGTTAGCGCAGCGTGGGTGGTGGCACCGGCCCGGCCAGGAGGGAAGGCGGCAGGGCTTCTGGCAGGGCAGAGATCTGATGGAGCGTGCGGGGCTGTCGTCTGTGGGGGGTCACTGTGGCAGACGCCTTCGGGAGAGTGAGGTTACAGCAAGAAAAAAAAAAAAAAGAGTAGGGTTTTAGAGAACAAAAAAAATTGATTCAGTTAAAAGAAACTTCTTGTTTATGAGAAGAAATCAGGGGAGCCCGTGTGACTCTGCTACCAAGCTGAAACTTGCTTTTTCTGTTTCGGCTGCTCTGTAGATAGGCAGATAGTGTGAAACACGTTTGCGCCAATGCTGCTCGGTCAGGGTGGCAGCATATTTGCACATTTTCATACTTGGAGCATGAAACTCTGCAATAAAGTAGGGATTGGTGCCATACCATGAACTAGCAGCACGCTGTGTTCCTCCAGGCTGGGAACAACGGCAATTCCAGCTATCATCAGCTGCCATTGCCTCGCAATCAGTGAGTGACTGCTATCCGAGTGTGAAGTGATGGAGCAGTTGTCAGTCAGATTTTAAAATCTTGAGGTTGTTTGCCTAGTTAAGTATGAGCTCTTCATCCCTATGACTTCATCTATAAAGTTTTTTTTTAATGCCGTGTATAGGTGAAAGGTGGAAGCCAGCAGAAAATCTTACCAGGAAGTTTGGAAGAGGCTTAGCTTAAACTCTTCCCTCTTACTTTTTTTTCCTTTTGCCTCTCTTTTTGCATTTTAAAGTCGACTAGTGTAAATTTCGTATTTTTTCCCAAAGATTTCCTTCAAGATGAAAGCCTGGATCATAAATGTTGAAATATATGAGTTATGGAGATATTAATGAAGTGCTTTCAGATAGGTTTAAAATGCACAATTTTTAGCAATTGTATCAGCTTGCGTATAAGGAGTGTGCAGCTCTGCCTCGGTACTATCTGTGGTTGTGTTTGCCAACAGCCATCAATGGAGAGCTGAGGGGAGCTGGCAGGAAAATGTGTGGAGGAGCAAGTACATTCTGTTTGAATGGACCGGAGAAGGAGAACCAGGCAGCCTGGATACTGGAGATGGAAGTAAAGTGGTTGCAGCTGGAGTAAAAGGCTTTTGAAGAGAGGAGGACGATTCATTCCTCACCAGCTTTCTTGGCCTTTTAAAGGTTTCTGCTGCAAGGAGTCCTGTGTTGAGGCATTAAACGTACTTGGCTTTAAGGTTTAAAGACTATTTCCGCTGAAGCAAATGACTCTTGAAGAAACCTGTTCTAGTCTGGTGTTTGTTAAAGTAGTTAACTTGGAATAACCAGGCTGTGGCTGTACGGGAGTTGGGTTTCACTTGTCCACAGCCTCCATCTCCAGCCGCCTGCGGGGCCGCGCAGCTCGGCGCGGAGGATCGGCCAGGTCGCTTCCTTTGGCCATCCCCTCTCCCACCGTGTCGGCCATAACGGAAGTTCTGTGGGGTTTGTTCAGGTCTATACTGGCTTATTAAAAACAATTTTAGTATTTTGATTGCTGAAATCTGAGTTATTTTGAAGGACAGTTTTTCTAACCTAGAGTTTGAGAGGCTTTGCTCTTTCCTGTTCTTCAGTGATAAAAATGCTTGAATCAAATGGTGTGAGCGAGAGACATTTACTTCCACCTCTGAAGTGTTTGTACTGCTTCTGTTACTGGAGCACTTAAAAATGTTTGTAGGTTATTTCTGGTTATAATTAGCGTACTCACATGTCCAAGTCAATGAAGCTGGACAAGAAGATTGCATTAATTTCCTACTAATTATGGTGACTGACGCTTACTGTGCTGTATCTCCGGACAGCAAACCAATCACTACAGAGATACTTCCCTGTGTGTGGTAGGGGTTTTTTGTGTGGCTTTTTTTGATGCCATTATCATGGCCTTGATATAATAACTTAAATAGAAGGGTGTGGGAAGTAGTAAAGCTATTACAGAACATGCACATGGAAAAAAGCCTTGACTCAAAA